CTTCAATCCTGTGCTGCAGAAAAGCGTACCCTGCCATTTGCCAAGATGGTGCTCACTGGGCCAAACGGCTCCTCACCCTCTTCCCGGCGGGGGCATCTTTCGTCCCGGACTACAGGGCAATGTTTGATACATGGGATGTTGTGGAAATATGCGATTTTACATACGTGATTGTTCTGAATAAGTTTGAACTCATCGTTGTTGTTAATACTGAACCCCTGCATGTTTAATGCATGATCCGCACGCGGAGCATGCATTCAAAACGGCACTGTACTGTGGATGGCCCTGGGGCCCGAGAACGGGCCCCCGAAGCGGAAACGGTCGTTGGGATCGGGGCATGTCCGCACCGTGCAGAGGACGACGGAGGGCCTCCCACGTCCGGGAAGCCCGAAGACACAGAGATCGCTGCCCCAGAGGCCCCTCCCAGGATTTAGGAGGTCGCAACCTGCTTTAGCCTCCAGAGATACAGAGATCGCTGCTCCAGAGGCCCCTTCCAGGGTTTAGGAGGTCGCAACCTGCTTTGGCCTCCAAAGATACAGAGATCGCTGCTCCAGAGGCCCCTCCCAGGGTTTAGGAGGTCGCAACCTGCTTTGGCCTTGACCATCAGGAAGAATTTCGCGAGCACCAAGAAAGTACCGAAACTCGGGGGTTTTCACGTGTCGGGCCCTGGGGGACACTCGCCCGACACTGTTTCGACACTTTTCCAGGTGCTCGAAATTATTTCTGGGATGTGGTCCTGAAGTACGATGGGAGCAACAAAACCCAGGGTGCCCTTCTGATCAGAACTTCGAGGCGAACCCAGCCGTTGCGGCCTCCCGGGAGGCCCCAACAGGCGAAAGCGAGGCAAGGGTAGCGTTAGGTCGGGCATGTCCTCCTACAGGCGGTCTTTGAACGAAAAAATACAGGATGTTCAAGAACTGCTCAAACAGATTCAACAAGTATGACTACGTTTGAGCTAAATGTTGAATTTTCATCCTTTAGAGGGACATGCCCGACGTAATGGTGGCGGTATCCGCTTGTGTTATTCTGACTTCCCCCTATTTTCGGGACATAACTCGGCTCTCTGGAGAGCATTCTGAGGCTGGAAGACTCAGAAAGAACCGACGAAAAGCCGTCGGGCAGCCTCGAATCTCGCACCGACGTCAGAACACCGAGAACGTCGACACTTCGACCGACCTCCCTCTGCTGGATGGCCATGCCCTTCCTGGGACCAGAAGCGGTCTGTACCCTCTGATGGATTGCCCAGGGCGGCATGTGCGCTGCCCCTGGGCCCAAGATGGGCCTGATCAGAGGCAGCGGATACATATATATATATATACAACTACAGAAATGTGGATTGTACGTAAGTATACATACATACACATAAATATGGTCATAATTATATATATATGTGTGTATATGTATGTATGTATGTATGTATGTATGTATGTATGTATGCATGTATGTATGTCTGTCTGTCTGTCTGTCTGTCTGTCTGTCTGTCTGTATGTATGTATGTATGTATGTATGTATGTATGTACCTATGTTTTCCTTTCCCGAGACCCTGAACCCAAAACACCTGCCATCTCTTTAGAGGCCAATATTTACCTCCGCCGGCTTCTGCTGGCCTTCCACCAGCAGAATAAGCCTTCGTTTTACTTCCGCCGGCTCTCGCCACCCTGCATCCGAGGAAGAGACGGCGACGCCTTCGATCCTCGAGTGCCAGGCCACCGACGTCACATTTGTCATAACGTCGACCCCGAGAGGTCTCAACCTATTCCCCCGACCGGCGTTTCATCCCGAGTCGATGTTTGACGGTCCTGGGGCCTTGCGAGGGTCCACAGAGGCCGAAAGTGGTCCAAACCCATCCGGCGTGACTCTCCACATCCTAAATGGGGTTCTTGTTTTCTGTGGACACCCCCGCGCAGGAACAAGAGCCCACCCACGTCATCATCACCATCATCATCACCATCACCATCACCATCACCATCACCATCACCATCACCATTATCATCATCATCATCATCATCATCATCATCATCATCATCATCATCATCATCATCATCATCGTCATCTTCGTCATCATCATAATCATCATCATCATCCTCGTCATCGTCGTCGTTGTCGGATTCGATTGTCCACCATCGCACCATCGCCATCATCATCATAATCAACATCACCATAACCATCATCATACGCATCTTCATCCTAATCCTCATCCCCATCGCACACACGCACTCATTCAATCACTCACACGCTCGCGAACAAATATGAGTAAGTCTCGAGCGGGAGCCTCGTCTGTGAGTGAATCACGAGGGAGACTCAAGCGAGAATCACACCCGAGGGAATCCCTCCTCCATGTTCGAATCCGAGGCGGCCATCGACATGCCACGTATCAATGAAGCCGGCGCGACCCACTTAGGGAAACACCTGTTGCATGGGCGCATCGCTGAGCGCATCGCTTGACATTGCGCGACATGGGTTGGCATTGCTTGGCATTGATTGGCATTACTTGGCTGGCATT